GTGCAGGATCCACAAACGCAGGATCCACAAACGAGTGCAGGATCCACAAACGAGTGCGAGATCCACAAACGCAGGATCCACAAACGAGAGCGAGATCCACAAACGCAGGATCCACAAACGAGATCCACAAACGAGCCACAAACAAAGCATCCACAAACGAGCAGATCCACAAAACAGTCCAGCAAACACAGATCCACAAACGCAGGATCCACAAACGCAGGATCCACAAACGAGTGCAGGATCCACAAACGAGAGCAGGATCCACAAACGAGTGCGAGATCCACAAACGAGTGCGAGATCCACAAACGAGCGCAGGATCCACAAACGAGCGCAGGATCCACAAACGAGAGCAGATCCACAAAGATCCACAAACGAGCGCAGGATCCACAAACGAGCGCAGGATCCACAAACGAGCGTGAGATCCACAAACGAGCGCGGGATCCACAAACGAGCGCAGGATCCATAAACTCAGGAGGGCAATTTAAACTCTACCTTTTCATGCGCGACTGTCTGTAAGTGGAACATGTCACCAACAGAACTGATCACACAAACAAACGTTCTCACACCTGGAGAAACCAAACCTTTGCCCGTGATGTGAACTGATGTGTGTCTGGAGAGAGTCTGATGTTCTGGAGTGAATGAACTGAACGATGATTTTGATAAAGGATGATGTTTTTTAAGATGCTGAGAGAGCTGGGTGTGAATGATGATACAGAATTGTTATGATGCTCTGGTCGTTGGAGACATGAAGACATTCTCTTTGCATGTTTGATTTTATGAACTGTAACATCAACCTGCCCAGAGACGACAAACCGAAACTAAACTAAACTAATCTCTAGTCTCCAAAATCCCTCTCTCATAACAGTTGTGTGCTCTGTGTGCTCATTGGTCCTCTTCCAGCCTCCGTGGTGGCACAGTTTGGGGTGAGGGGCGGGTGTGTGCGGGGGTCCGGTCAGCTCCTCGGGGCCGCAGGGTCACAGGGGCCAGCGGAGTCACTGAAGCCCTGCCAGCAGCCAATCAGAGCAGAGCCTGTGGTCGTCGGCCAATGGCGGGCGCGGCGCCGTGGCCTTTGACACGAGGGCCATGCGAGCCTCGTCCCAGGAGAGCGCCGAGGGCCACGGGGACGACACAAACACGAGGAGGGGGCCGACGGCGACGGACACGAACACGAACGGACGGAAAACTGGCTTCTCCTCTCACAAAGAAACATGACAAACTGTTCCAAACCTGCTCGTCCGGAACAGTCTGCAGTGTTCCAACGACTCACCTCATGCATCCTGAGCGTCCTAATGATTCAACTGTATCACAACTAACAACAACTAGCATGTGAACAGTGCACTTCCTGATTTTCAAACCCCCCAAAAATCGTTTTATAATCAGATGCAGACAGTACAATGCAGAATTATTTTGTCCCCAAGAGCAGCTTATACAGTCTATCTGGATCTATATGTCACCAAGTTTAACCAAATAATATTTTTTATACTGAGGGGTTGTTGGTTTTACTCTTTAACTCTTGACTGTGTGATTGTTGCTGTATTTTTCCATGTCCTGTTGATGATTTTACACCAACTTGCCGAGGGTCTGAAGATGGAAATGAGCCACGTCGGCTATAATCTTTACATATTTACATTTTAAAACATTCATTAATATTTGCTGTCCATTCGCAAATAAATATATAAACTGACATTTACTTTTGAGATTTAAATTTTCCAAAAATGTTCAAAAAGACTTTTTCATATGTATTTTTATATATTTGTCTTACATTTTGTGAGAAGTTTCAAATTGATATCTCTAAATTTAAGATGTTTTCCTATTCACTAGTGTCATAGTACTCAAGACCAGACTCGAGATCGCTTTTTTACGGTCTTGGTCTCGTCTCGGACTCGAGTGCATTTAGTCTTGGTCCTGTCTAAGTCTTGATGGCTCTTGGTCTTGGTCTTGTCTCAGACTTGAGGTCTGACACTCAACGAGTACGATCTTATTTCATTACGGTCGGTAAATGTGCAGAGGCTAAATATCACTACAAAACCAGTAAGAGAATGTCACTGTAAATGTTATGAAGTTGAAAAAAAACACTTTGAATTTATTTTTCTGTAAAGAGCCAGAGGAAGTTGGACTAAAGAAGAGCTTCTCAAACTGTGGGTGAGGGTCCAAAGAGTGTTTCAGTGCAGCACAGTTTGCTTGTCTTATTTTAGGCCTAAATGAACATTAACCAGATCAAATGGAGATAGATTCATTAAAACGTTGATATAAATGTGCCAAAATAACTCAAAAATAAAAATAAATGTAGGAAATGATAACGATGGTCTCGATTTGGTCTCGATGGGCCGTGGTCTTGGTCTTGTTTCTGTCTCGACCTTTAAAAATCTTCGCCTTGTCTCGGTCTCAGGTCTTGGTCTCGATCAGTGCGGCGGCTTTGACTACAACACCACTGTTCACCTGCAGCGACGCACTTTAGGAAATCAATACTTAAATTTGAAAAACACAAATCTAATTTAAAATAGTTGTTCCTGATATTAGAGTATTTCATCAACGTGCACTTTGTAACTTAATGATTATAGAACATTATAAACACACTATATTCTGTCTTGAACTTGTGCCGCTTATTTGTGCTTTGGGTTGAACTTTCCCCACGTTTGTCACATGAACCTTGAACCAGAAGCTCACGACGATAACACAGATGAAGTTTGAGACTGAAAAAGAAAATATTACTTTTAATCCGTGTATCATTCGTTCATTCGTTTTTCAATATAAAACCAAAAATAAGAAAATGAAAAAACAACAGTTTTCTTCATTATTTGTCTCCAAAACCAAAATGAAAAAACAGATAACGATTATTTTTTTCAGTTTTTGATTTTGTGTTTACATGAAAAATGGAAAAAACGGATAACAGCCGTTTCCTGTTTACGTGACTTCAGTGACTGCGATGCCGGACTTTGCACCGCGTACAGACTGAACCAGGACTGATCCAGGTCCGAGACCAGAGCGGGACCAGGGTGGACTCCGAGCTTTGACTCTGAGCCTCCGCGGGGTCCGAGCCTCAGCTTCGAGCTCCGGTCCCTGCCGTGGGCTCTGAGCCTCCAGTCTGGTCCCGGTCTGGTCCTGGTCTTGTCTCGTCTCAGTAGCCGCTCTGGTCCCGGTCTGGTCCCGGTCTGGTCCCGGTCTCTGGTCCCGGTCTGGTCCCGGACCTGGTCTATTTGAACCAAAAGCTCTTAGTTTGGTTCGTTTTCGTTGGTGTGAAAGCGTCAGTCGGATGTTTTGCTCCACCTCGGAACCAGCCGCTGGTTCTTGAGTGTGGAGGACTGGAGCAGCCCGTCCGGACCTGTAGTCCACAGAACATTCTCACTTTCCCCGCACAGAACCAGCGCACAGACGATGACACTGGAACCACTCTGATCGCTGGTCCCGGTCTCAGTCCCGCTCTGGTCCCAGTCTGGTCCCGGTCTGGACTCGGACCTGGATCAGTCCTGGTTCAGTCGGTGCTAAAGTCCGGCATCACAGTCACGGAAGTCACGTAAAGGGGAAACGGTCGTTATCTGTTTTTTCATTTTGGTTTTGGAGACAAATAATGAAGAAAACAGTTGTTATTTAATTTTCTTATGTTTGGTTTTATATTGAAAAACTAATGAACGAATGATACACAGATTACTTTTTATCCTCGTCAAACTTTTTCTAAAACGTGAGCTGTAATCCAGGGGGCGCTGTATTCTCCTGAAACACTGACGAACCCCGACTAAAACACCGGGAGAACACAGACGCAGGACCTCGTATATATGTTAAGAGGGCTAACCACTCTGCCACAGCGTCAGCCGCGTTAGACAATACAGAAATAATGAGAATAATGAGAACGCAGACGTATTGTGTCTCCTGACCCTGCGTGCTCCGTCTTTATTAGACATATAGGAGTTTAGCATTAATGACGGGGGCGGGGCCAGGGCTGATTGGGACGCTTCATTACGTCCGAGACAATAACACTCGAATGAAACAAGCGCCGCAAAAGAAAAAAAAAAAAGAGTCTGCGAATGTCCACATTTCACAACACAATCTGAACTGACGGTGTTTGAATGATTTTACCAGGGCCCGACCGATACGTACGGAAACCGAGAGGCGTCACAACGAACGCAAACGCCGCGACAAATACAAATGCAACAACGAACCAAAAAAAAGCCACAACGGAAATGACCGCGGGACTTTATTTTAATGCAAACGCCGCAACAAATACAAAAGCCACAACGGAATGAGACCAGGACCAGACTGGGACTAAGACCAGGACTGAGACTGGGATCAGACCTCAACCAGACCGGGACTGAAACCAGGACCAGACCAGGACTAAGAATGGGACCAGACTGAGACTGAGACTGGTTTAGTCCTGGTTCAGTCCTGGTCTCAGTCGTGGTCTGGTCCTGATCTCAGTCCTAGTCTTAGTCCCAGTCTGGTCCTGGTCTCAGTCCCGGTCTGGTTGAGGAATGAGACCAGGACCAGACCGGGACTAAGACCAGGACTGAGACTGGGATCAGACCTCGACCAAACCGGGACTGAGACCAGGACCAAACTAGGACTGAGACCGGGACCAGGACCAGCACTGAGACCAGGACTGAGACTGGGACCAGACCGAGACTGAGACTGGTTTAGTCCTGGTTCAGTCCATTATCTGTTTTTTTTTTTTTTTTTCCATTATTCATTTGAACACAAAATCAAAAACTGAAAAAAAATGAATCGTTATCTGTTTTGTTTTTTTTTCTTTTTAGTTTTGGAGACAAATAACAAAGAAAACAGTTGTTTTTTCATTTTCTTATTTTTCATTTTATTTTGGAAAAAACTAATGAACAAATGATTCAAATAAAATTGTTCTGTTTTTCACCACAAACCTTTGTTTTATTTGCTGCTCGTTTCCAGGAAGTAAAATGATAAACTTCACCAAAATGTTCAAACTCGTCAAACCTCGGTGTAATTTTGAGTTTAATTTGAGTGAAATGTTTTATTTTGTTTTGTCGTTGCAGGCATGAAGCAGCACGCGGACTTGGGCACTCAGTATCGCTCGGTCATCTTCACGTCCAGCCCGGAGCAACAGGAGGCGGCGCTGAAGAGCAAAGAGGTCTACCAGAAGGTGCACCACCCGCCAAAACGAACACATGTGATAGAAACTAAATAAACAGAATGAAAAATCAAAACAGCAGCGTTAGATATCGTAAACGTGTTAATAGATCTCCGTAATAACACCGAGTTGAAGCTTGAAAAAAAAGCGTTTGAGATATTCACGGTTTCAGCTTCATGTCCCATTTTGAGGACTTAACGCAGCCAGCTTGGATTTTTACTTGAAAACTCTGGGAACATTTCAAAGTCTGAGCCAGAAAAAGCTGCGTTAGGCGAATGTTTGATATCCGACAGTTAAAATATTGATGGTACTTATGTTAGTTTCCCTTTAGTCACTCCAGTCCACCTGCTTCTGTGAGCGTGAACAGTCTGCTCCCGCACGGCCGCGGAGCCTCGAAAGTGCCATAAATGCACTGTTATGTTGTTGTGCTTGTGTTTATTTATTCGTTTATTTATTCATTAGCTCAAGGACAGTGTATATTGACCGACAGCACAACTGTACAATGTGTCGGAGTTAGTCAAGAGGCGAGTTTCCATCTGCAGTCCTTTGCCAGATGTACAGACGGCTCCTTAGAAAAGACGGATTACAATGAGATAAAACGATAAAAAATAAAAATGTAGGTAAGTTTGCTCAGCAGCAACAGTCCAGACAGAGAGACAGAGAACACTTGTGGGTAAAAACAACAAAATATTTTATGAGAAGTGCCTTTTGTTTAGACGGTGACGGCGTTTTTGAGGCTTAAAAACGCAAAAATCTGAAACCATATGAATACGCTCCTCCGCAGTGTTTCCGTCTACACTGCTCAAGACGCAAAACTCTAGTTAGATCTGCTCAGGTCACAGACACGTTTAGGTCACATTAGAGCTGGGTGATATGGATCAAAAAATATATCTCGATATATTTTGCGATATCTCAATATACGATATATATCTCGATATATGTTCAAGAAAAAATAACCCCCTAAAACTGAAAACTGCAAAAACAAATCTGTCAAATTCCACGAAGTCTTTTTTTTACTGAAGTGTAAGAGGTCGACAGTTCATGTAGGAGATTACAAAAAACCCTAATTACATAAATAATAATTTAACTGTAAAATAAAAGAAATAAAACATATTTCCTTCTTTTCATTCATAAATAAAACAACTCAACACAAGCTCATCTTTGTATTAACTCTGTTCTCCAGACCAGAACTAGAACCATGAGCTCGTTCAGCAGAAGAAGCTCAGGATGTTCATTATTTTAACAGATCCATGTTCCAGCGTCAGGATCTGAGGTTTAATCCCACAATCCACTGCAGATCAAACCCAACGATTCAAACACTATTGTACAAGTGACACTGCAACAGATTATTATTAAAATCTTCTGCATAAATAAACTTTACATGACTAAACTTTACAATATATAAACATAATGACTACGAGCCACATCAGCCCGTTTGACATAATAATGTGTTTAATTCAGTTTTGCGCACGTGCATTTACATTTTACAGAAACGAAATTTAAGCTCATGGCTCATTTACATAAACAGCACTTCTCCTGCAGCTCAGCTCGTTCAGCTTCTTTCGGGCTAAAGGACGAGACTCGGTGGAACATGAGGATGTGCTGCTGCTGGTTTTGTCTGTAAATGGTGGAAAAGGTTCGTGGTGCTTGAAGCTTTTCACTGGCACCAACTTTCGGCTTTCACCAGTGACGAGTGAAGGAGACACGAGTGAACAACATCAAGATAAACAAGCGAAGCAGCGAAATCAAAATTGAATATAAGCATTATATCGATATATACGATATGTCACTATCTCGATATATTTAAAATATCGATATATCGCCCACCCCTACGTCACATACATACAGGACACAGAAACAAACATGTCAGATCATTTCCAGCTTTGATAAACTTACAGGAGGCTCCCAACAAATGTCAAGAATCTGCAGAGACTCTATTAGTGAACAGAGAAAGGATCTGCAATCACCTCTGTCAGATTCTGGACGCAGCAGGTCGTCGAGAACCAGTCGATGGTGGGACGACTTTGTGGAAGGAGGAGCTGATGATGGATGATGATGGAGCTGATGTTGCTTTAAGTACAAACACTCACAATCTAATTCCACACACTTTTGCGTCACCGTATGCAGCAGATTTACTCCTGAAAACACTCGTCTAAACGCGGAATAAAAAGTGAAGACGCGACGCCATTTTTGCGTCTTCCGTTCAGACTTTCATCGTATAAACGGAGCCACAAGGTCCAGATAGAGCAGAGCAGTGAAACACGGGCAACAGCAAAAGCAAAGTTTAAGACACGGTGTAAGTGCATCACAACATTAAAACACGCAGCTAAGAAACATTATTAATAGTGTTGGGCAGGTGACTTTTAAAATGTTCCCCTACAGATTACAGATTACAGACCCCAAAATGTAGTTTGTAACGTAATCCATTAAATTACTTAAAGTGAGTAATGTAATCTGAATACTTTGGTTTACTTGATATTGTCAGTTGTTTTTTTTAAACTACATGAATGTATCAACCACATCCTGAAAATTCATGTTTGTTCAGTCTTTATTTGACCATATAAAAAATATTATTGATAGAGAAATGATTTTTATATGAGATCACAGCTGACTTCAGTTATGTTCCACCCGACTGTTAAGTGTCATACTGTATTAGTTTAGTCCTGTTTAGTCCTGGTTTAGACCTGGTTTAGTCCTGGTTTAGTCCTGGTTTTAGTCCTGGTTTAAGTCCTGGTTTAAGTCCTGCTTTAGTCCTGCTTTAGTCCTGATATTAGTCCTGGTTTAGACCTGGTTTACACCTGGTTTAGTCCTGCTTTTAGACCTGGTTTTGGACCTGGTTTAGTCCTGGTTTTAGTCCTGGTTTTAGTCCTGGTTTTAGTCCTGGTTTTAGTCCTGGTTTTAGTCCTGGTTTTAGTCCTGGTTTAGACCTGGTTTAGACCTGGTTTAGTCCTGGTTTAGACCTGGTTTAGCCCAAAATGTGAAAACAGGAAAATATCATCCTGTAATCCCTTTATTTTAACAAAGTAACTGTAATCCAATTACCACTCACTGAAACAGTAACTGTAACTGAATACAGTTACTCATAATTTGTACTCTGATTACGTAATCCCAGTACATGTAATCTGTTACTCCCCAACACTGTTAATCGTAGACTCTGGACAAAAGCTCCATTATTTACAGACGGTTCAAACTCTTGCATGTTGTTAACACAGAACGAATGACAACAAAAGCACAAATTCTCTCTCAAAAGCTGCAGTTTATTAACTGTTAATGTAGGAACAGTGTCCGGGCGACTCAATTAACTTAATTAGATCCTCATTTTGGCTTATTTGAGTATTAGTATTAATCACTTTTTATTTGTAATACTTGGTAGGGTGACCAGAAATTCAAAATAAAAATTTTAAAATTGTTTTTTTTGTGTGGTTGGTAATAATAAAATTGTGAAACGAGTAATTAAGGAAAATTGTTCTGCAGAAACCATTCAGGACTAACATACGAGCCAGTGTAGTTAAATTTTCTTTGTGTTTTGGTCATGTTTAAACAGATTTTTTTTGTATTTTACCAAACAAATTACAATTTTTGCTGCTCAGATGAGTATCTAGTTTTAATAGTAGTTTTAATTAGGGCTGGGTATCATTAAGAAGTTGCCGATACGATACATAGGCCACGATACGATACATATTTCAATACAGTGCACTTTCAGTTCGATACGATATATTTCAAATCCATACTAAAAGTCTTTGTTAAACCACTTTTTGTGAAAAATGTATACGAGACACAAATATTTTAATCATCAAAACAGTGAAAATGTCAAAAGTGTCGCATAAACGAGTTTCCTTCCTCTAAACAAACAACAAAACTGTAGCTGTAACAAAATAATTTAGTAAAATACACCAAAAAATACTCTTGGTGATGTATCATCAAGTTTAACAATACAATATATTGATACTTTGATATTTTTGCAGTTTTAAAATGGATTAGTATTCAATTTTCTAAACTTTTGACCATTCTAAGGCCTAATACTACAAAATAAGACAATATTTACACATTTTTTTGTATAAAATTGTAAAACATTTACAAAGAAATCGTGTTGTGATGATTATTGATGATGAAAAACTATGATATATCAATACAGCAGCCCCACGATATCGATACTGTATCATCACATTAAACGATACATTGATATTTTGATATTTTCACACACCCCTAGTTTTAATATTGATTAGTATTCAATTTTCTATACTTCTGACCATTACAAAATAAGATAAAATTTAAAAGATGTATCAAATTTTAAAGATTTACAAAGAAAACATGTTGTGAGACTTATTGTTGCTGAAAAACTGTCGTTAAATTTACAAATACGCCAGTCAGAAGTCAAAAATTTGTGCATTTATATCCACGTTCGCAGTTTGTTTGGGGGTACGGGCTGTTTTAGTGCTTTCCCTGGACGTCCCTGGAGGTCCTTGGAGGTCCTTGGAGGTCCTTGGACGTCCCTGGAGGTGTCGTGACCCCAGAGTTTGTTTAGCTAATGTTCGTCTTTGGGGTTAATCCCATTTCCATCCACGCCACGCGCCGCTCACAATGCCCCGAAGCGAAGTGCCGGAGGTGGGTCGATAGGTCAGCGCACGCCCCCTGCCCCGCGGTGGTCCTCTGCGTCCCCGTGTCCCCTCGTCCAACGTCCACTCACCCCTCCAGAAACGGCAAGGGACAGATTTGTGGCCTGTATTTATTTTCAGTTTGAAAGTTTTGGCATTTTGTTGTTGTTTTTTTGAGAGAGAAATGCTGAATAAGGCCACGTTCCGACTGCAGGACTTTACGCTCAATTCAGATTTTTTTGTGAAATCCAATATTTTTCCGAGGTCGTTCACATTTCCAGTTAAATTCTCTGGAATCTGTGATCTCCAGTGTGAACTTTAAACGCCCCAAAAGTGTCCCACATGAGCACTAGAGGACACAATGTCATGTGTTCAATGTTTACAGAAGTTATCTAAACTCTGGGCTTGTCTCCCAAA